AAAGGGAAAAATTAGGCTACTGGGAAATCACATAGGCAACTAATTCAATTCTCATGAGTCTGCTTCCTGAGAATCAGAAATCCTTGGAGAGTACTATTTTATGTTTTGATAGCTGAGACTTATAAATTCAGGAAAAAACTTCCGACCATAAGAGGAATCACTCAAACGAGAATGAAACATGAATATATATGCTACTTTAGGGATGCTGACCTCTGATTAAAAGTTGTCCTAGCTGCTGAAGATTGTAGGATGCGGATACCTGTGATTTCTAATTTCAGCATTTGTGATTTTGCAAGTGGCAAGTGAAATTTGGTGCTAAGACTTTCAGAAAGAAAGGTGAGTATTCATCTGAAACTTAAAGAGCTTAAGTCTAGAAGAATCACTTTTCTAGTCAGGGAAATATTTCTCAATACTTGCAGTTATTTATTCAATTATTCACAAAATTTTTTTAAAGTTCATAAACTCTCCAACCACTTTCCCAGTTTCTTAAGGTTCTGTTGGTTACTATGAATTGAGGAATGTTTTCTTAATGACTTTAAGTGAATTTAACAACAAAATATTTTTTAGACAGCAAAGAATGATACTGATTATACATTTGTAATTGCTTTAAAAAATGAGAGACAATTTGATAATTGTGATTTCTGGTTTTATAATGTCTTATGTCTGTCAGTTACAAGCACAAAATTGTATAGTAAAGAAAAGGTATTATTCAACTCTGTTTTAATTAACAGATGAAAATTATATAAGTTTAACTGCATAAAAATTCTGAACCTGTGTTCTCAGCCACAATGACAATAATTCTGATCATAAAGAACAGTCAAAAGACACAACAGAGAGTTTTAATGGCAATGCTCATTGAGTTCCTCTTCTGCAATGACCTCTAAATTACAGCTTCACTTAAATGGCTGTGTTCAAAGTCTACAAGAAAAGGTGACAGATAGACTCTCCAATATTTTTAACTTGTGCCTATGAGTATTAAGGACCAAATTTTGCTTAACATGCAAAAATGATCTTTAAGGTTCTACAGTGATTAATAAATATAAAAATCCTGTTTTAAATTATATATATAATTTTTAATTAGATTGGGAAGCCATTCAAAGCTGCATCCTACTCAGACTTCCTTCGAGTTTTGTAGCTTCATTTTACAGCATTATTATGAATGTTTGCTTGTCTTCTGTAATTATTTTTTAAATTTTGTGCATTTTTTTATTTCATGTTTATGGGTCTGTTGCCTTCATGTATGTACATGAACTGTGTTCATGACTGATCAGAGGCTAGAATAGGGCTGGAGATCCCCTTCCACACCACAGTGGATTTGGAAAGTTTGTCATCTGGTTAAGACACAAGCACCAAGCTGACAACAGGAATTCAAGCCACAGGATTAGTGTGATGTTAAGAAAGAAACAACCTGTCCAATTGTCCTCTGACCTCAGTGGGAGCATTGCTGTGTAAACACACACAAGCATCATTAAGATTTAAAAATGTACATTATCTATCAGTTGTGTCTGTTGAACACATAGATTATGAGTGACTCAAGGTTGTCATGAATAAATCTGCCATGCACATTTTGGTACAGATATCTCTACAGTAGATTGCTGATATTTTTCCTGGGTAAAACTTATGGTATTGACTGTTTATTTGTAGTGTGAATATATCTTTAAATTTAGAGTAAATTATAAGTTATTTTCTAAAGTAGGGAACCAGATTCACACTGCACAGAATGTATGTGTGATGTCTGACTACTCCTTGCCAACAACTGCCACTGTCACAATATTTTTTTAATTTTTTGAGACAGGGGACAGGGTTTCTCTGTGTAGGCCTGGCTGTCCTGGAACTCACTTTGTAGACCAGGGTGGCCACAAACTCAGAAATCCACCTACCTCTGCCTCCCAGGTGTTGGGATTAAAGGTGTGCACCACCAATGCCCAGCCACTGTCACAACTTAAACCCATTGTAACAGAGGTGTCTGAAGGCTGTCTCTTTTGAATTTGAATGTAGATCATTGATAATAATCTTCTCTATGGGCTAGTCACAAATCAACTACATGTATATATTTTTGGTAAGCTGACTAGTTGGTTTAACTTTTTAAAACATTTATATCTTATTACATTTTAGAATATGTGTTTTGATCATACCTTCAGTTGGTAATTTTATTTTCCTTTGCAAAAAATTCTCAATGTTAACAGATAGTTTTGTCTTTCTTTAGTCTTATTGGTAAATGGGTTTGTGAATTTTCTTTATAAGGAAACAAACTGTTTTTAGACATCAAGTAATTTGTTGAGTATTTTCTTTCAGGTCTTTAAACCTCATATTTTGTCCTTTGCCTACATTTTAGATTCTACAAGCTTTCTTCAGACTTATTTTCTTGTGTTTGTAATAAAATTTAGATTTAAAATGTTTTATGCTTTTAATAACATACTTATTTTAACACACTTAGAAATTTGCTTTCATAGACACAGTTACTACAATACTTAGTGTTTAACATAAAAGTTCATAGTACTAAAGAATCTATGTTTCCTCAGTTTATGTTTCTTCTTTGTATACCATGATAATTCACAAATAGTTAATTTTATATTGATAACTTGTTTAAAATTTGGTAGAATATTAGTAACAGCCTCACTCACGAATTACTTGTTTTCTTCTTGATTTATCAAAGCTAGACGTTTTGTGAAGAGTTTAACAATTACTTATTTTATACAGTTATTAAGTCAAGATAAAACCAATAACAACAACCAAAAGCATAACACTGTTAAATGACTGAGTGGGAGTAAAAAAGCAGATACTTTGACTTCATGTCTAGTCAGTTAAATATGATTGAGTCTGATATTCTCAAGAATCAGGCCCAGAGCAATGGATGGGCTAATTGTAGATTAATCTCTTCAGACTATTGCATGATTGCTGTTACATGTGTTTTTTAATTTTAATAATATTTAATGTCAAACATTTTGTCTGGAACATGGCACTACTATTGCATTCTGGAACTCACAGCAAATATGGTTGCCTACTAGGCTTACACAAGAGTGGCTCAGACAACAGTCAGTTCTGGGCAGGGAGCTGACCCTACTGAAGCTCTCTGTCCCTCAGTGTGAGCTAATGTCTACTGAAAGTATCTGAGAGATAAATAGATATTGACTTGAATTTGTAAGCTCACTGGTGAACTTTCCACACTCCAGTGGATAGTTCAGAACCATGGTCATACACATGGCTTTGGTTAAACTTATTGGATAGCTCAACAGAAGGAAACAGAAACACAAAAATGCAAAAATATTATATAGAGGATGGAAGTAGTTATAGGGATGAAAGGTAAAAATTAGCGGGAGCATGTTTTTGCATGTATGAAAATGAAAAGTTGGAATTTTAGTTAATAAACAGAGTCTAATAACTTTATGTAAAACACTCCTTTGAAAAACTTATATGAAAATGAAATGTCTGTAAAGAAAAGCTCTGCTCATGGCTAAGGGATTTTGGGACATTTAAGCTATTGCTTTCAGGAAGAGTTTACTTTCAGATCGTCAGTCGCTTTTACTCATTGACAACAACTCTTATGTACTTAGATTTCCAAGTCCAAACATAGCTTTCTTTTTTATTTTAATTTAAAAATGTTTGATTTTTTTTTTTACAAGAGTTCTATGTTTATAACATTTCCACCGACCTCGCTTCCTTCCAAGTCTTCCCCTGCCTGAAGTCCCTTTCATTGTTCGTGACACATGTATGTATGTATGTTTGTGTGTTTATGTACACAATGTACACATACACTCATGCACGTATACATGCATACATATATACATGTCCTGGTAAGTCCATTTAGCATTGCTTATATGCATTTGGGGCTGAACAGTGGAATCATAAAACATATTTGAGAGCTTAACCCTGTAGAAGACTGATTCTCTCTATCTCATCAGCCATGAATTGCCTATAACTATTGATCTAGGGAAAAAGCCTTTTGAGATTTTCCCCATCCTGTTGGGATGTCTACTTGTCTTGTCATTGTGCTGATCTTGTTTAGGCAAACACAAGTTGATATTTTATGGGTGTAGCTTCCCTACCATTATACATGATAGTCCCTCATCACAGATTTCCTGGTCCTCTGCTTCTTATAATCATTGCAACCCTATTTTGTTATGTACCCTGAGCGTCAGATGTAGTAGGCATGTTATAGATGTATCAATTGGGGCTTTAAAACTCAGTGATTTGGCTTTTGACCAATGGCACATTTTAGTAATAGTCTCCAACTGCTACAAAAAGAGGCTTGTTTGGTGAGATTAGATAGTTAATCCTACCTGCAGATGCAAGAATAGGTATTTCAAATATATTTAGAAATTATACTGGTTTAAAAAAGTGACAGTAGTAGATTCTCCTCTGAGGTCTATGATTTCATGAGGAAGAAGTAAGTTAAGTTTATACTACCAGGCCTAGTATTGAGCAGGTCTTAAGTCGAATTAGATAGTAATTAGTTACCACCATGATTTTAGCACCATTTTACACTCTTGAGGACATTTTGCCACACTTTCAACTGTTAAAGGTCATGGGATCTGTAGTTTTGGATCTATTAATTACTTTTCTCCCTTGACAGATTCCTTATCACTTTATTATGAGATTTATTTCTCACAGGAGACAAGCAAGCTTCAAGTCAATAAATTGCTGTGTAGCTCCTTAAATGGTCAAAGTACATGTAATTGAAATGGTATAAAAGCATAAAGGAGGAGGGGGAATGGGATGGAGGTTCTATGGAGGGGAAATAGGAAAAGCAGATGACATCTGTATTATAAATAATTAAAATATCCAATAAAAAATTTTAAAAAACAAAAAATGATCAAAGTGCTCACAGGCAGTATTTTATATACCATGCATTATGAATTATATTTTAAAAACAATGTCAATTACATATTAAATTAAGAAAAAGTATATACATGCAGGACTCTTCTTCAATTAAAATAATAACAAATTCATTGTTTCATATATCTTTCTCTCGTCTCTGAACAGACATTTGAACAGAGGATATGGCAGCAGGAAACTATTGCATGATTCCTGAGTTTATTCTGACTGGCCTCTCAAAGAAACCAGAACTCCAGATGCCTCTATTTTTCCTCTTCCTAGGAATCTATGTGGTCACAGTAGTGGGAAATTTGGGCATGATCACACTGATTAGGCTCAGTTCTCACCTGCACACACCAATGTACTATTTCCTCAGTAGTTTGTCCTTCATTGATCTCTGCCATTCCACGGTCATTACCCCCAAAATGCTGGTGAACTTTGTGACAGAGAAGAACATCATCTCCTACACTGGATGCATGATTCAGCTCTACTTCTTCCTCATTTTTGCAATTGCAGAGTGTCATATGTTAGCTGCCATGGCATATGATCGGTATGTTGCCATCTGTAACCCCTTGCTTTACAATGTAACCATGTCCTACCAGATTTACGTTTCCTTGATCTCTGGAGTCTATATTATTGGTGTGATTTGTGCATCAGCTCACACAGGCTTCATGATCAAAATACAATTTTGTAACTTAGATGTGATCAACCACTATTTCTGTGATCTTCTTCCCCTGCTGGAGCTTGCTCACTCTAGTACTTATGTTAATGAATTGTTAATTTTATGCTTTGGTACATTTAACATTGTTTTTCCAACCTTGACTATTCTTACCTCTTACATCTTCATCATTGGCACCATCCTACACATTCGTTCTACTGAAGGCAGATCCAAAGCCTTCAGTACCTGCAGCTCCCACATTTTGGCTGTTGCTGTCTTCTTTGGGTCTGCTGCATTTATGTACCTGCAGCCGTCGTCAGTCAGCTCCATGGACCAAGGGAAAGTGTCTTCTGTGTTTTATACCATTGTTGTGCCCATGTTGAACCCTTTGATCTACAGTCTGAGGAATAAGGATGTCAGTATTGCCCTGAAGAAAATACTAGAAAGAAAATCGTTCATGTAAACTGAAGTAATGAGATTTATTTATTAGAATATATGCTGGGAGCCAGCCCCGGCTTGCTGGGAGGAGAAGGTGATCTTCTTTCTTCTCCTCCAGTCGGTTCTTCTTGAGGCAGCCTAGGGGGATGGGAATAGGAAGAGCCTCGGCGGGGGTCAGATGTGGTCTTACAAGATTTGCGGTAAAGCCTTGGCCTTTATGAGATATTTAGGGTTGCTGTATAATAAAATCTTACTTGTCTACGTTACTAAAGTTTACTTACGAAGCTACTGTAGCTGACATGCTGTTTGATCCTCTGAGGCCAGAAACTGCAGTTTCTGGGTACACTTAGCACCTCAGCCCAGGGACAGCAGAGAATTAGGCAAATATCTTAGTACTCTGTCTACAGGTGCTGCCAGGCTCTAACTTAGGTCTGTTGGTTTGAGGTCGCAGGACGAAAAGACACTTAGAGAAGTTATAGTTTATTACTAAGTGTAAAAAGTTTTCTGTGAAAGCTATCTAAGAGACAAAGTGTGGAAAGGAAAAAAATTCTAAGAAAAAATTCCAAGGGGAGAGATTCTAAGTAGGGAAGAAAGAAGAAGGAAGAGAGAGGAGAGAGAGAGAGAGAGAGAAAGAGAGAGAGAGAGAGAGAGAGAGAGAGAGAGAGAGAGAGAGAGAGAGAGAGAGAAAGTGAGCTGCTAACGAATGTCCCTTTGTCTTATACATCATTCAGAGTACCTGATCACATGTTACATAGTTCATCACAAGTTCACACCAAAATTCAAATCACAAATTGAAATAGAAGTTTACAACAGAGAATGTTTACATGCATATCCATTAGGAGTAATTATCTGACTAAACATCCATCACCTCTCTAGCTTCACAGGTTCACCGAAGGTTTAAAACTATAACTAAGAAATTAGTGAAGTTTTGTATAGATAAACCCAGGCAATATTTTCTCTTCTGTCCTAGCACCTATAATAAATTGTGAGTTCCCTTTTAGTGTCCTTTGGTTAATTGTTTTACAACCACCTTGGAATGTGCTCTGAGCAGGAGAGAGTCTGGTTGCTGTCTAAGGGCTGTTAACTGATGACACTTGGGAGACTGGCAGAGTTCTCATAGCAGTTTTGACTATCAGAAAGGGACGTGATACCAGTCCCCCTATAAAAAGAGCTAAATAATCATTGATATAATTTTAGGAATTCTTATAGGATCATCATTAAAACTTAAGAAGTCATCTATTTGTCTATATAGCATCACTACAGGACAGTACATCTTCGTGGGTCTGCAGAGATCTGCTCCAAAGGGGAGTGCTATTGCTTAGTGATTGTTACATATGTTTAATAGTAATAATAATAGGAGAGGCATATTAATAGCAGGATCTTTCCTAAAATATGTCCGCCACAGCCTTACTGAATGGTGCACTGCTGTTGCAGATTATATAATAATCCGAGGCAAGCATTTCAGGATGATCAATTGCTAATTATTAGCTTGTCCCATTATGGCTCCTGACAAATATAGTCATCAACTGATACATTATTTGAATTTCTATTATTCAATTTAATTCATTTAATATTTTAATCATTCATTCATTTTCATTTTATCTAGTATCTATAACCATCCATTCCTATTTCTTCTAAAAATTACCACATATTCACCATAGAGTCAAAAGTAAATAAATGAAGATTTAATCAACATATTTGCCTTATTCTGTCAATCACATCAACTTTATATCAGTTTGACTATACTGTTGGTTAAAAAAATACACTCTTTATAATTTTTGATGTTAAGGTTGTATTTCTAAAAGTTGTGCTAATCCTGTCTGTCTTTATGAAAAAGCATGATATCTAGAACTCTGAACTTTGTGACTTTTAGTTTGAAAACTACCTGGAAAAGTCTGCTTTCTAGCCTATTATTCAGTGAATGTTAATTACCTTCCTTCTTTAGTGTATTACTTTAGATTCCTGATTGCCATTTTATGATACAAAAAACTATATGTGTTGACTTTGTGCCTGATCTAGTATCCTTGTAGTTATCCATTGTTGATTTAGTTTATGCTTCCATATTTTGCCAAATTGATTGAAACTAACATATTCAAGCAGAATTTTATGTTCTTATGAATTATTTTTTGCACAGGTCCTAGAATTGTGCCTAAAAGTTATTAAATCTATAATATTTTTCTCATTCCTCCTATGAAATATTTAAAGAAAGTCTGACATATGTGCTATCTATGTCTAACAATGGTTTGCTATCATTCCAAGGAACTGTATCTATTTTGAATTTAAATTTTATTGAGCATATTTTGTAAATCAGATTTCTTTTAAGATTCATTTGCATGCATGCTTAAAGGATATGTTGAATACTACTGAGATTCTGATCTATTTTACATAAGGGTGTGAAAGTTTTCAACTTAAGTAGACTTTCTATGGCAATCAAGTTCAAGTGAGATAATGTGTGAGTAACTGATTTCTTAGTTCATTAAATGTTGTTCATAGAGAAATCTTTGAAGTAATGCTTAGTTTTTCTTGATGTTAACACTTGTAGAAAGTTAAAGATAATTAAATTTGAAAATTTCTGGTTCAACAATGAAAATCTATGCAATAGTGTTAGAACAAAAACAAGTCCCTTGTTCTATTGAAAATATCCATAACATGAGTAGAACATAATTCCACATATGATGACATCAGTAAAATTGAGGTATATAATCAGTTTATACATGTGGTTGATATATATGTATGTAAATTTGAATTTATTTCTATAAATATTACATGCTCAATAAACTCATAAGTCAGGAAAGATGCTTCATTTCTGTTTGCTTGTTTGTTTGTTTATTATTTTTGGTAGGACTGGCTTAAATCTTTGATTATTCTCCAATTAGAATATTCACAAACTTTTTGATCTTTCATATCGAGGTTTGTTCTGGACGTTAGAGGAACAGTAGAATAATAACAAAAGTGGTTACATCTCTATAGAACTGTTCCCTGGAGGCCTTAAAATTATGGCATTTGTCAAATTGAGCACATCATATAGTTGGATGTTAATGTCTCCACATATTCTTGATCATTTTTTAACTCTATGAATCTGAGCTTAAGCAAATCTGCTGACAATCTATTGTGCTTGTATGGAAATAATATATACAACTTAATGTGTCAATAAAAATAAACAAAAATTAAAGTGTATAACAAGAGCCCAACATATCTTAAATACAGAATATTCAGAACACTTGAAGGAAGCTGTCACGTATTCAATGAATTATCACTTGCAAACTTCAAATTCTTTCAAATATTATTTATATGATATTTTAAAAATTGGTTAGAACAGATGACAGTTTAGTCTTACAAAACATTTTTGATAGTTTGAGAATTTACGTTGGTGTAGGTTCTAACTATTCAGTCATGAACTAACTCAACTTTTTCTACAGTCTCAGTGGTGTCTCTGTCCCCTTCATTTACACTATTCTGTTCTTCTCCTGGGATTCTTAAATTAGGAGCAAAGCATGTCATGTTTTGATTCTTGGAGAATCTGATAATAATATTCATGTGATCTGCCAAGCACTGAATAGATTTATTATTTAATAATGAAAAACATAAAATTATCATATAACTTGTAAGGAAAGGCATTATTCCTCTAAATCCTGGTTACCCCATTAGGTCTGTGGTGTCATCCAAAGGCTCGTAAGAAATGTACAGATCTCAGAACAACCCACATCTGCTGGATCAGAATAAGAATTTTAACACAGCACCTCAGTGATCCACATACTCAAATTTTTATTAGGATCTAAAAGTTGGGCATAACAAGAATCTATTGAAAAACAATTTGGCTGTTGGGAATTAACACTGATAATTGCTTATTTTCTCCTGAGCATATTTCTAGAATAATGAGAGTCCTTAGAGAATGTTTATTTCCTGACATGCAATAGCTGAACAACTTAAACTCAGTACAGAGCAGCCAATTGCTCCGGTGACTGTGACTGTGGATGTGAATTTGAAACATCAGAGGCACAAAATAAGTGACTCCTGGAAGAAGATGACTTGAGACACAGACCATACTCACAGGTATTGTTGCCACTGAAGACTAGGCTTTATCTTCTTAATAATAACTGTAGAATGCTGGGTGCCTACTTTTCCCAATGACAGGATTAGTGCCATTTTAAAGCGGCAAATAAAACTTGATATTGAGAGTTTCAGTAGAAATAAAGTTAGGTAAACATGTTTGTCTCACATACTCGCACTTGTCAATTAGGACTATAAGTCCTGGAACAATCACTATCAAATCATTCAGAAGTAAATGAATATCCCCACTCACACATCTAACTAACCACTTATTCCTAATGGTACCTTTAAAAACCAGTAATGTGACAAATGTGAATTAATAAGAAGATCATCAAACAAGGTCAACTATTCATTGGCTAGTAGTTTAGTTTATGGGTTAAGTAAATGTGTGATTTATAAATTATAATATCCTGAGTACCTTTTAGGATGAATCCATAAAAATATTATGGAAAATGAATCCCTGGCAACTGTAGTTAAGATAGGTTAGAAAACGAAATACATGTTTAGCAGATAATGAAAAGTGCTTAGTGACACTCTTTCAAGAAGAATAACAGCAATTACAAAAATGTAGAAAATGAAATGACAGTCATGCAGCTTGTGATCTGCGAGTAGCCAAGTTTGTCCATCACAGAAGGAGTGGGTTGCATTCAGGAAGAGTTTATCAGGATCAATGAGGTTTTGAAAAAGAAATTAAGGGACTGTTTGCTCTAGAACTGTGAAAATGAATGATCAGATTTAGGGCTCAGTATACTACATGAGTAAGAATAAGTAACATGTTTCAATTTTAAAATAACAAAATAACACAATATTCCTTTATGATTATTGAGTTATGGGTCTCCTATGGTTCCAAACATCAAGCAGCAGCTGTCTTACAACACGTAAGCTGCATACTAATTATACTGTCTTTAAATGTTCTCCAAGAATCTGTCAGCTTCTACATTTTATCTTGCCATTGTCCATTCCTTAGCAAGAACA